GCCAGAGGATTTCCAATGAAAATGATATTTCACCCACACAAAATTTTCGTGATTCTGAGGCGTCCGGTAATTCTTAGTTACTTCAGTGTTTTATCACCACACAAGTTAAAGAATCTGAATTTCGCACGCTTTCCAAGGGATATTTTATCTTTCAAGTGAGTCCTCGAATCTGAAGGGATGTGAAGTACACGGCGCATCCCAGAGTGGGTCCAGTTGTTGCGCGCGCTTCGAACTACGGCTCCTTGGACAAACAATCTCAATCCAGGAAAAATCGAGAGGATTCTGAAAGTGTCCGTGCGCAATTTACAGGGAGGTGTACACCATTCAACATTGCATTAACGGACTCTTCAGGGTTAAATTTATAAACATGTAACCTTTAAGTTGAGAAACGCTAATCAATCACTTTTCTTAGAAAGGAAAAGCAATGATTCCGAATCTGCTCTTACTTTAGTACATAATCGCCCTTAAGAGGATCTATAGTCGTTGAAATAGTGCCAATGTAGCGAAAAAGTACCTTTCGGCGGTACTCGGGCAAAAATCCTCAACGTGGCCATTTTCGTATACTGGACGTATAGAGCTGCTTTAGCAACGGTTTGGTAGAGAAAATCTTCCAGTTTTGTATGCCATATAAACTTTTCAGATGTGACGAAAATGAAACAAGTTATGGCTTCGGAAAGTGTAAAAACTCGTGCTCATCTCGAATTTTCCTCGTTAATTATCTAAATTTGTTATTTCTTATAACTTTTTGTAATTTCAGTACTGATTAGAAAAAGCTCTTCACAAAACTTCCAAATCTGCTTTCAGATTGAAAATTCGTCATATTTGAAGAAAGTTATAATCATTTGAATATTTGTTCAAATTTCAATAGTAAATAAGCTGCTCCACGGTCAACGCCAAAGTCCAGTCAACACACAGCTGGCGAAGGCGGTTACAAGGCTTCTTTCAACTGAAAGGGGGACGTGTAAATTGAGAACCATAATCTGTGTAGTACTAGAATTTGGTAAGTCTTGTGGAGGAAATAAATAAAGAGATGTTGTCATAGTATGCCATTTTTAGTGGCTAGTTTGTCGTTTTTTGGTCTGTTTCTCGTTTGCTCGTTTGGTAGGACTCATCAATAATGATCATTCTTTGACTTTTTCACTTTTGTACTTCTTAAACGAATTTTTTTGTGGACGGTGGGGTAGCAGGTTTTTTATGAGCAGTTTTTGGGGGAGAATTAAACAACCTTTTCATAGTTCGGCTTTTGAAGAGGGTTGTTTCATGGACTTCGGCCTTCGGCAGAGGGAGGGGGGTCGTATTTCCGAATTTTCCTCGACGCCTCGCTTGACCCTGGTTGGTTTTGAAAGAGGATTGCCATGGAATGGACTCGTGGTTTGTGAATGCTAGTCGCGTCTGCTTGATTTGCTGGTCGCGTCTGCCATGGCTACGGTATGCATTCTCTGTCTTTCGCTCCGCTACTATGCTCTCTCGCATCCGTCTGTCGTCATAACTCTAAAAGAAGAAGGTGAATTTTCTTTCGAACCTTTACCTTCTTCTTCTGACATACGTCACGTGGGAAGCAACTGACTTAGGAAGTATTCATGCTCAACGTTCAGCTGTGATTCGACCACTTTCTTGGAGTCATTTATCCGAAGAGATAGTGTGAACATGCACATTCCAGCTTTCTACGCATGTCATTCAAATCGCCCGACCCTCCTCTCTCCCCATCTCCCGAACTGGCTATACTCCCCGAGACTCATGGATTCCTTATTCTGCATTGATGTCATCACTAGTATTTCGCTGAGAGGGTAGAGACAAGCAGTGCGCGTCTCTACCGGAAGCCCCTCCTCCCAATTAGCGTTGTACCCTTGTTTTGCCACTTTTCAGTTTTGATTTCCGAACGCACCTCGTGGGACAAGCTGACGCGCTTGCGCGTCAGGCAAATCGCGCCCGCCAAACTGCCCATGTCCCATGCGGCGGAAAAAGCCAAAACTTGCGCTGTCGTCAACGTTTTAAGGTCCAGGATAGGTGGCAGTCATTTATAGCTCGACCAGGGGAATACGCTAAGAGAGGTAAGAAATCTTGCCGCAGCTCCAGAATTTCTTACCGGGCTCATTTCGGATCATGGTGATTCGCAATGTCATGAAAGAAATAAATATTGTCGCGGTACGAGGGCTCCTGACGAGCTGCCTCGGCCAGCTTCTGGAGTTCCGCAGCCTAGACCTCTACCTACACAATGGTGCCCATAACGAAGAATTTGTAGTGAGCTTCCGTAGAGCCCTATCTGTAATGGAGTGTGCGGGACGCTGGTTCCTTATACGTTGACGATCAGCGTAACGCTTCCCACTTCGTACACCTCGTGGGTCATTGGGACGCGGTAACGCGTCCCACCTAAGTCATCCCGTTTTCTTGCGTTTACGCGACTTGTTCCTAAGGTCTTCGCGCTCATTCTATAGGATACATAAGCATACTTGAAACCACATGCGCGCCGACTCAGAAAGGCCAAATTATTCTTTCCGGTTTGGCGGGGTTTTTTCAAGATCATTACGGATATGTTGTACATGTTTCAACCCCTCGTTTTCTTTTCGCTAAAGTGAACATGTTGATAAAAAGGCATAATAGGAGCGAATACAAACTTATTCGTATGGCAAGGATATGTGTTTTTCACTTAAAGGCAGCGGTTACGCTAGGTTTAAATGTGGTTTGGAGGGGACGAGGGGGTCCTCAATAGTACATCAGTGGCGAAAAAAGCAAAGAAATCCGTCAAAAATAAGCAAAATAGTGCCCCTTTGATTGCCCTTTCATTTTCGATCATGGATGAGCGACGGTAAAGACTGAGGTTGTTCGGACGTGTTAACCCCGATAGCTGCCATCATGCCAACAAGCATAGTGTTTCGATTGATAAGGCATAACATGGGCAAGATGGAAGATACAGCCGCTAGATGGGAAAAGATCATCCAAAATGAAAAGCCAACAGCAATCAGTCCATCCAGATCATCAACAAAACCAGTGGGCGGGGCGGCGCATGGGGCGGAAGGGCGCAATGGTCCTGCTCAGCAACCACAGCACTGTTCGCAGTGGAAGCGCCACACATCGCTTCCTTGGCGGCCTGCTAATTGCTCTGTGGGGAGCAGGTTCTCCGCAGATGTGAAAATTCCTTTCCGTACCTACTTCCTTTAAAATACCAACATCCAACCTCATAGTTTAGGAAACCACTAAAGGAACAAGGTAAGGTAAAATTCGCCTTCTTTAAACTGGCAACAACACGTCATTTCGCCGAACCTTACTATTACGGTGTAGCTTCGATATCGTCTAGACAGATCGAACATTCATTGAAAACATATCATCGCATCTAAGTATTGCGTATTTACAGCTCAAAATCCATGGATTTGGTGTGCGGCGGCGGCGCTCGCAAAATCGCTCTTGTCCCACGCGGTGCAAAAGCACAAAACGCGCGATGTCGTCAACGTGTTAAAAAAATATTAGAAGATCGAGAGCCGCTGGTAAAGGTGAAACACGCTGTAGCTGTGAACGGTACATGCCTATTAAAGCTATTGCAGATGGTGTTGGTCGTTGAAACACGAATCCATAGTTATGGAGACTTTTGTACTTAGACAGTGACTCGGAGTATGTTTACCCAGTAGTCGGGGTTTTCTGAATTTTCCTTGGATAACGACTTATTGCAGCACTTATATCGCACCTCGTGACCCGATTTGAAGAATCTCCACCATTTTTTGGTGTCAAAGCGCTTTTCTCCTGGGTACAGGTCACGCTGAAAATAGGGAACTCTGTTAGTTAGTCATACGAAATCAAGCTTAAAGCAACAGTCCAGGGAGGGTTTCAACTAATCCAAAGCTGAGGTGTGGAAGCATGCCCCAGCCCAAGTGAAGTCGAAAGGAACTGTCACTGAAGTAAAAACTCACCTCTGAAATGCGTGAGAAGGGCTCGAAGTTCGTCGAAAAGGGCGGGTCAACCGAGCCTCGGTTGACCCGCCTCCTTGCTGCTGTGAAGAGCGCTTGCTCGAATAGCGGTCGTTGCGGGACCGCCGCGCTGTATCAGGTCGATTCCATGAGAGCGCAATTAAAGCGCTTCAATTTCGATTGCTGGCAAATAGTTATGTATTTGCAAGCATGCATGGCTATTTGCCAGCAGTTGCAATTGGAGCGCATGTACTACGGGCAGGTTCGGACAACTCGTCCAACACACGTCTCCCTAAACGGCAGGGGGAGTCCCTGTCTAAGCCCCTGCCCGACGTTTTTTTCTACTTTTTCTTTCTCCATTGACCAACTTCTCACCTGCAACGTCATTATAGGTGGTCCTTACCCGCGAATTCGTTCCTGGATTGTTGCTTTAAGGGCTAAACTGGGCCGAAATAAATGGCCTGAGGCATAGCTAATGTGTAAGAAATGTGCTTTATTCATAGATGCACGAATGGATTTTCAGAAAACAAAAAACGGAATTTAGAAAAAGGTATCGCAGAGCTTTCTTTCTACACTAATAACTCGTGAGAGAACGGCAACATATGAATCCTGCTAATCTTACAAGATCATCAAATTAATTGCCAGACGATGGTTCTTTTCATCGGATACATGCTCTTAATTGTGCCAAAAAACAACTCAAATCCCTGTAGTGGCGGCCTCTGTTGATCTTCTTCAAGAATGAGCTTTTTTGGGAAGTGTTTTGAACATGGGAAAATGATCTCGTGCGGGGACTCTTCCAGCGTTTCGGAGGGGTCCAAAGTGCTCCGCTCTTTCCATCTTTGCCAATAATTTCCTGCTAGCTGGCTTCAGTTTTCTTTTTCGGTCTTGTATTCTCATTTCTCTCTTCTAATACTTACTCTTATCTCACTCTTGCCGACCTTTATATCACTCATTGGATGTGCTTCATTCAACACATCGATAAGCATTCAGATTCCTTCAGTATCGTGGGACGACGTTGGCGGCTTTGAGGAAACAAAAAGGCTTATCATCGAGAGCATTGAGGCAAATCTGCAAGGCTCTCGACTACAGAGGTCGGGCATTATGTTGTTCGGACCGCCTGGATGTGGAAAAACGCTCATCGCCAAGGGTCTGTTTTCTCGTTATTCCGAGATATAGCAATTACACGTGTTCGCGAATTTCAGCTGTGGCAACGGAATTCAAAATCGCCTTTTTGAGCGTCAAAGGACCTGAGCTCCTAAACATGTACGTTGGTCAAAGTGAAGAGAACGTGCGTAAAGGGGAGTCTTATTTTTGTCAGTTTTCTTTCAAGGATGTCCGTGTTAAGTGTGCTTCTGGCCGCACCTAGAAGAAGTATGGATCCCCTACTACCCTGCCTTGTTTTGGATCGTGCGCATGAACGAAGGCGCTGGCTTTCAGACGGGTCAGGCTGCCATTCTTCGTTGCTTCCATCTCATATAACTATGCAGTCGAAAACTGAAGGATATCTAATCCAGTGTACCACGAATCTAGGAAACTCGGCCAATACTCGACCGATGCGAACACCGAGTCATTCGAGCAGGGTTTAGAAAAACCGTTCAAAGCTTATGCTACTCTATGTACCGGGGGTTCACGTTTCTACGACCATGACCCCGTTTTTTTAATTCCACCTCCATCCTTCCTCCATCTTACCGTGTAGCCGAACACCTTTTTCTGGCTTTGCACTAAGTTGAAGAAAACACAGAGTGAAAACAGCAAAAGTTCGTGATTTTCAGAACGTTACTGTAGAATTTCAGAATCCACTCATCACCCAACTTAAGAAAAAAGGTCCCGAAGAATTTCTGCATTTTCCTATACCCTATTCCAAGTTCAACTCCTCTTTCCTAAAACAACTGCGAGTTTCGTTCTATCAAAGGCCACCAAAAACTTCTACTTTATTGAGGCCGATCCGTTTCCATAGTCCGAACCTACTGCAAGTGGAGGGAAAATTTGCTTCTTGTCCGCTTACAGAATGCCCATCCTTATTAAATGACCTCACGGTCATGCCTTATGCATACAGAATGAAGAAGCGACTACAAGCTTCGAGTGGTGATCACAGCAATGTAGTAAATGTGGCACCTAACCCTCTTTCGGAAGACAAGAAGAGCGTCGAGTGCAGACCACACACCACAAGTGACGACGGCCAAGAAAAAAAAGCTTTTTTCTTGGCCGTCGTCTCTTGTGGTGTGTGGTCTGCACTCGACGCTCTTCTCGTTTTCCGAATAGAGGGTAGATCCTTATTTTTGCGTGCAGAACAATTGGCAGTCACTTCGTGAGATGAGTGGCCAATGTTATTTTATCGTATAAAACTGATAAAACTGGGGGCGGAAGTGGTGTAGTGGCAAGTGGCGCGCTTACCACGCGAGCGGTCCGGGGATCAAATCCTGGGTCGTGAGTCGCCCGGGCCAACCAAGCCTTCCATCCCTCCGGGGTCGGTTAATTGGTACCAGACTTGTCTGGGAGGATAAAAACACTGACTTGTACATCGGCTGGCCCCCGCAAGTCATTGTATAGGCCACATCGCATTCAAACGCCACTACGAATGTACAAATGGAAGTAGAATGCGTGCCGCATAAATATAAACGAAGAACAGATAGAATGCGTGCCGCATTTCAAAAAAGGGATTGATCAGCGGCAAATGCTTTGTTTTCGATCCTCATAAGATTGGAGCCTGACGGGCGGCATCAGTATAGACTAAGTGCGACCACCCGAAGAACAGATATTTAACAATCGTTTTTAGTTTTTGAAAGAGCACGACAAGCTTCGCCATGTGTAGTATTTTTCGACGAGATCGACTCACTCGCTCCCAATAGAGGTCGCAACGGAGACGCGGGCGGAGTGATGGACAGGTATCTGCCCTTTTCCACAACCGTTGATTTTCTGCTACTGAGCAGTCATTAAAATGGGAAACTAAACTCCCTATGTCGTGAGAACTCCGAAATCTTTAGCAGAGTGAGTTGTTGCCGTGGGGGGATGGGTAGGGAGGAACTGGTGAAAGGAAGCTTTCCCACTACGGTGGCTCAGTTTGTGAAACGTTTTTTAGTTTGGTGATATAGTGTGGCCATTTACTTGGCTATTATAATCAGAAAACCAAAGTTTATTAAGAACAGATCGAGGCGAAGCATAGATCATTGTGTACTGCTGCTTCTGGTTCGTACGACTTCCACTTGTGGATGTTTGCAGCGCGTTTGCTTCGTCAAGTGCATATAGAATTGCTGGGAGCTTTGCACCTAAACGTTTCAGTAGCTTCTTCTGAGTTCACATCTCTGATCCATTCTAGAACGCAAGTTGCCTTTCAAAGTTTTGCTGGGTTGACATCATGCAAGTCAGCCTTTCAATGGCATTTAGTGCGAATACTTGTCACAAGCCTTAGTTTCGCAATGTATCGCCATGTAAGGAGTCCAAACAGTCGCAGCATTTTTTGGCACGAAAAAGCCGTTGGCAGATAACAATATTAGGTTGAGCAGGAATTATCCGCCTTTTCCCGCATTCATTGACAAAACTAAAAGAAAACATCTCCAATTGTTTAATCTACAAACGTTCACGAACAGTCCTCTCCGCAACTGTGCCTTCATCCATGCTTCATTGATTTTACGACCAGATGCGGCAGTATTCGTTTTCAAGCTCAAATTCAGTCTTTTTTTCCTAGTGTGTAAGCTCCGAAGCAGATACACAAGTGTTGTGCTCCAAAATGTACAACAGATTGTGGCTCTTAGACTACCTCATATTTTTAGAAGTAATCGTCGAAAGTCAAATAGCCATGAGTTCAAAAAACGGCGGATAATTTTTGCTCAACCTGAAATTCCATTCCCGGCAGAAGAAGCGGTTTTATGATTTTCTTGATGCTCATGTCATTCCGGTAATATTGATAATTGGAGCCCTCGTCAAAACGCTCGCCTTTAACCCTTTCGGACCTGAATTTTTCCCGTGGAGAAATTTTTCTTCTAGCTATTGTTTATTACTTGTGAGCATATAGGTATCATTATGGCGAAATTTGGAAGCTATTCGATCACAAACAAAGAAACTAAGAAGCTTTGAAAATTGGCCCACCTTCTTAGTTTTTAAGCTTATGTCGAAACAATTCCAAATTTCATAGTTATGCCGAAAAAGTTTATAATCTTGCATAACATTATAACCCATAATTTTGATTTAAGAATGGATCTACTTCAAGTATTTTAAGAAAAAGTGACACTTACTTGGCCGGTTGCGGGGACAAGCGCCGATTCATTGTTGCATTGTATTAGGTTGTCTCATAAATAGTGTCGCTTTTTTTCAACCAAAAAATTTTCATCTAAATCCCATGCTTTTACATCGTTTATATACCATTCGAAGAGAATTGTCTGCTCTACAAGATGCTATGTTCCTCTTCCACCTGTTCCAGGGTTTTCAAATTTTAGGCCTGCGAAATGGGAGGTCCAGCCGACAAAAATTGACCAAACCGACAACTAGCTCTAACTTTATTTTCCCTTGGGAGAAATCAATCAATGATGTACCCTCTACTTACTCATGACCTCTTCTGAACATTCCACTCTTAGGTTGCCGAAAAAGCTTTGCCGTGTTTCTTTTCGAATTGGCTGACCGATAAGCCATAGCAATTTTCAAATTAAAATTGTTCCTCGTAAACGCCATTGTTTCATATCGAAGTGGTGTTCCTTTTGTGAGCACTTCTTCTGCTCTATTCGCTCATTTGTTTTTTTTATGTTTGTTGGGAATTAGTTCGAATTTTAGGTGTTTAGGAATAAGGTGCTTTATCCACGAAAGTGACCGCATTTCTTTGAAAAAAATTATCCCTGAGAAGATGAGAAAATCCAAAAAAAAGCAAAAAAGCAACCTCTAGCAGGATTAGAAAACCATGCTGTTTCAGCGGCAATGCAAGCATTTGAATTTGATGGTGGCAATTGCCACCGCCAGGGCCGAAAGGGTTAAAGGAAGTGGTCACGATAATTTCTCATAGAAACGATAAGGAAAGCTGTGTACTGGAGTGGATAGGGGTCCTGCCCAATGTTAGAACACGTGAAGTTTCAGTGGCAGTGGCGCCTTATCAACGGAGTGATAAGGCGCCGAAATCCACTTCCGTTCAGCAAAAACCAAGACTTATCGATGTGGAAAGGGGTGCGATAAGAGCGTGCTAGATATGATACCGTTATCGTTATCGTCCCGTTTTCATTCTGGAGTGCACCTCTTATCAAGCAGCCGCACCTTCTTATCTCATCGTATCATATCTTCCATGGGCTTACACTCGTCCAACAATTACTGCCTCACACCTTATCGATTGATAACGCGAGGGTAGCAAATCCAGCGTGGAAGCCAGCGTGATCGCTTCCTTTAATAAGCGAGATTCAGATATTTCATCTGCCGAAGATGATCTTTGAATAGTGACGGCGGCAATTTTCTCAGTTTCTTAACCTTTGTAAGCCGAACTGTTCAGCGTCAGTGGATAGGTCCATTTGTTATTACACGAGTTCACGCTGCCGAGGCAGTGATGTGCACCGCAAACTGGAAACCTTGAGAATCAACTTTGTTTTGGTGTAAAGTTTAGTTTAGTGTGTTGAGGTTCAGCTATAAATTTCTGTGCATAAACTACTTTTTGATCTGAAACATGGTAATTATTTTGAAGTTGTTGACTTCTTTACAAAATGCCACTTTACAGAATCGTCTCTCAGCTGATAGCCGAGCTTGATAGTCTGCATGACTCACCCCATATCAAAGTATTCGTCATGGCCGCAACAAACCGAGCGGACCTCATTGATCCTTCGTTGATGACCCCTGGACGGTATGTTTTTGCCTTGTTCAGATGAATACCTTCATTTTTACAGCCGACGAGTAAGCAAAATCTCTTGCTTTATGACTGAGGAAGAACGCTAGAGCAAAGTCTCCAGTCTCGTTGACTCCACTGCGATGACACTTGCTTTCAAGCCTTTTGCTACCCAAATGCTGAACCAGAGCACTCACAGCTTGAGAGGGGAGGGGGAGACACATTCAAAACAGAGCATCCAAAACCCGATTGGTAGGTGGCACTAGAGTAAAGCCCAAGAGGAAAGTCACGCATTCGAGTTCTATGCGAAGTCGTTGTGGTGACCTAAAGTGACAGTACCTACAGTAGTGGCCAGAAATTTATGAACAAACGGTTTTTTCATGATTTCTCTTTTAGAAAGTCACTGCAACGTCTCCAAATTTGCAACAATTATTAACTACGTGTTTTATGATCCACACAGAAAATTTCAACCTTCAGCTCAAATTTGGGTTTGTCTTCGGAAATTTACATCTTTAGAAATCTAAGTCTATACTACGTATTCCTTAGTTCTCAAAGTCTAAGAAGAGCGCTCGCTGTGAAGTGGGTGGGAGTAGAATGTGATTGACTAAGCCTGAAACGAAGGTTGATACAGGTTTCTAAGGTCATCTGGAATGACAAAAACATATTACTGATGCATGACAGCAAGGATACTAGTAATGTACGGCACCACGAGAGGGAACGTTTTGATCCAAAGAATCAGCTGCCAATTGTGAAACTTGGCGGAGGCTTGATAAGGTTGCTTGGAAAAAAGTGGGACCACGCTACACGACTGAGGTAGCGATGAAGGCAGACGTTTGCTGTCATGTTTTGGAAGGTGTCATGTATCCGTAGGCGTGGCTGCCGCCCGACCTGACTTTGTCTGTCAGGCAGAGCAGCGACTCAAAGCATCGGGCCTCTCACATGCAGGAGTGGTTTCGACAGCATGGGGTGCTTTTAAAAGACCAGCCAGGCCAGACTCTTGAGCCAAACATTACAGAACCACTAGGGGAGGACCTACAAATTCGTATGTCAATGAAAGAGCCACGAAAAGACGGGACTACAGAGAGAGACCACTAGAGAGTGAGTTCATTAGTTGACCCCGCATTCAAATCCAGTTTATGTATCCAATACTTTAGAGAGTTCTGGGCAATGTGCTAGACTTGCTTAATGTTAGTGACTGTTTACTTGACTGTTCTGTTGGGTTATACATTATTTAAATCAAATAAACGGATCAAGTGATCTTTCACCTGCCTTCATTAATTTCGAAAAATCTAAAATTTTCTAAACCCAAATTTGAGCTGAAGGTTGAAATTTTCTGTGTGGATCATAAAACACGTAGTTAATAATTGTTGCAAATTTGGAGACGTTCCAGTGACTTTCAAAAGAGAAATCATGAAAAAACCGTTTGTTCATAAATTTCTGGCCACTACTGTATACGTGAAGAGGTGTGGAACCAACCAATGTATAATAGAAACCTGTACCAATAAGCCGGCCACCCATGAAAGACCTTATTTTGACCTGGGCGGGAGCCAAACAGGGTCAACCCTGCGTTGCGCAAAGAACAACGAGGGGGTCGTATTCAGCCGACCGAAAAGGGAGGGGGTCGTATCCACAAACGGGCTGCAAGACGGCTTGAAAAGTGCAGTGTCCGGGAGTGCACTTTCAGCCTCTAATGTTCTCCAGGAGCTCTGCACGCTGTCGGAGAGTCACACAGACATGAGCTCCATGGGAGCATTAAAGCATGCAGAGCACTATAAGTCTCACCATCAGCTTATTATCCTTAATCGACGCTATCCGGACGGCGCTTTTGCTCCGCGGCATAGATCAAGAGTACAATAGACAATAGCCAAAAACTTTGTTACAGTGTAGTGCAAAAACATGGTCTGTCTTCGATGATGAAACATTCCTGAAATCCCGAGGAGAACAAAGTGTAGAGCAGTTCATGGGAAAGTGAAACAAGAGTGCCATATAACAGCACAATACAACTCAATCAGGATACTAACACCTTCTTCAGGAAAACAGAAGACTTTCAAATGCGAGTGCGAATTCACGCCTCCTCTGTCAGCGGCCGTAAGCAGACAAACTTTCTGAAGAGAGTTTTGATGCTTTCAAATAAAATCTAAGCGAAACAAAGTGTAGCGAATTTGCTGAATTGAGTTCTAGAGACGCCGTAGGAAAATTGAGGCAGAAGAAGGAATTTCAGGGAAATTTCACAGTTGTTATGAAGTACTCTTCGAGTGGATTCCAACAATCTTTACCGCTTCTCATCACATTAATTTCAAAGGAAGTTATGGGCCTTTGAAGACTGCATAGTCGCGGTCCAGGAAAAAGGCTTGAAAAAAATCAAGGTGGAATTGACGGAACAACGGGACTATTTTTTGAGCGAGTGATTATTTCAAGAAGTTTTAGCACTTATTCGGAAGCTCTAATCCTCTAGTTTCTAATTAGCCTTAACCCAAGAACGGAACAACGGGACTATTTTTTGAAAAAATGATCGCTGGAAAATTTTCAGGTGCTTGTTCGAAAGCTCTAATCTTCTAGTTTCTAATTAGCCTTAGACATTTGCAAAAAGTTGATTATGAAGAAAGTTATGAATGTTTGAATGTCAAAAACTCGCGTGTGCACAGAAAACGGAACAACGGGACGATTTTTTGAAATATTGAACATCCACAACATTTCAAATACTCCTCAGGAAGAAAACTATTTATATTTTAAAAATTTTGTGTCCGATTTCATGAAACAGCTTCTGAAAGAAAATATAACCTTCTGAATGGAGGGGTTTGGATTGCAATGTAATTGCTACAAGGTTTAGTTTTTCAGATTATAAGGTAAGGAAAGTTGAGAGATCGAAAAAATCCTGGTGGGTTTCTGAAAGTAGAAATCTTTACGATTAAAATGATGTATTGGTTTACGCAAAAATTTGAAAATTCCTTCTATTTAATGAATAAAACTTCATTTGCCTCGATTCCCTCCTCTGAGCGAGACAGAGCGCGCGGATTGACCACGGTCCACCACTTCTCCATGTTGGTGACTGCCATCAATTGATGAGCATTAAATTATGTGAAAGACATGATAGTTAATATGGGGGGTCGTACCGATACCCCCGAAAAGGAAGGGGGTCGTAAAAATTTGGGAATTTGCGCAACGCAGGGTTGACCCTGATCTCCATAAGTCGTCAGAGTGCCATCACGGGTATGTGGCGGCTAATTGCGGCCTTTCGCTGACTTTCCAGACGATTCAAAATCTGAGCAATGGGCGGCTCAATAACGTTGCTACAATCCACTCCATGCCAGATTTTACTCTTCTCGTGGGTCATATTATTTCGTGGAATATAAATAATCTGCTGGTGGGGTTAAGATTTGGGATGCTAGAGTCAGCAAATGTTTTTACTCCATACCTCTATGACGCTTACTGGTCAAGTCAAGTTCAGTTCGGCAAACGCTGCTTTCGACAGCAGCAGGCCTCGAGAGTTGCTCCGTTGTGGCGCATTTGAGACTCTCGGTTTTTCACCAGTAAAAAAGGAAGAAATAGTAATTTGAAACTTTTGGACGTCGTGCTTTTATGAGTAGCCACCCATACTTTATTTCTTTTCATTTTCCATTGACGAAACATAATATTTCAGGTTTGACAAGGTGATCGAGGTGGCTCCAGGAGAAGATGTGGAATCGAAGGCGAAGATTCTGAAAGCAGTCAGCAGGAATCTCAAATTGGCCGACGACGTCGACCTTCGCAATGTGGTTCGGTACCTAATTCCTCTCAACTGACCTTTGTGACCCTTTCACAGCGCACTACTATGAGATGGAATTTCTCGTAAATACTTTAGCTTTGCTTGCTGAGGAGCAATGAGATCTTCTGGAGGCGAGTCCCGTGTTAATCTTCCGTCGCAAACTTACTTTCGTATTCCATTGCTACATGTCGCGCGCGTGAATTCGTTGGTCTTGAATGGACATATAATCAGCGACTTTTCAGGCAGAACAGTGTGAAGGTCGATGGTCAGGAGCTGAGCTCTACTCTCTCATGTCTACGGCTGCCATGGAATCTATGCGAGAACAGGTGCGAGAGCATTTCCACTACGTTTTTGTTAAGCGAAAAATTCATTGCATGCATTCAGTGATTGCGCGTGCAGAAACGAAACCAACTTCTTCTATGATTAATGACTAGTGATAATCAAAAATATTACGAAAACGTATGAGATTTTCTGGAGTATCCCTGTGTTATCGTGACTCAAAACGTCCATCCAATTACAAGAGGCGCGCCATTCGTATTGTTTAAAATTGCTAGTGAATTGCAGATCTTCTTCTTCTTCTCCCTAGCGTTAGTCCCGCGCAGTCGCAGGGTCCGCTGTTTTTGTCAGCCGTCGCCACTTTGCTCTGTCCAGGGCATCTTCCATCGTGGCCGCGACCTCACCTAGGTCCTTCTTGATTACGTCTTTCCACCTTTTCTTCGGGGCTCCTCGCGGTCGCTTGCCTTGTACTTCGAAGTCCATCGCTGTTCTTATCGGATGGTCCTGTGGCCTCCTTAGCACATGCCCATACCATCGCAGACGCTGTTCCCGTACCTTCAGCTGGACAGGGGCAGTCTGCATGACCGCTCTGACATCCTCGTTTCTAACCTTGTCCAGCCGCGTCCAGCCGCAGGCCCATCTCAGCATCCTCATCTCAGCGGAGTGAAGCTGCCTTTCGTGATTCTTTTCAGGGGCCAGCACTCGCTGCCGTATAGCATCGCAGGCCTTACCACTGTCCGGTACACCTTTCCTTTGAGCGCTCTGGAGCACCTTCGATCGCAGAGGATTCCAGTGGACTCCCTCCATTTCATCCATGCCGCGTTGATTCGTGCCTTCACTGCCTGATCCACACTTCCGTCGGCTGCCAGATCGCTCCCGTAGCGGAAGTCCTCCACTCTTTCGATGGTCTCACCATGGCCGTCCACGATCGGCTCTGCACCCTCTTCGGAGCTCAGGAACTTGGTCTTCTTGACATTCAGCCGTAGCCCGCCTTCTGCCAGGACCTTCTGCCATTGCTGCACCTTGGCTGTAGTTCCTCTCTACTATCCGCTATCAGGGCGATGTCGTCAGCGTAGAGGATGGTCTTCAGTGGTCCTTCCATGAGGCCCTTCACCATGGTATCGAGCGTTAGGAGGAACAGGAAGGGGCTCAGAGCTGACCCTTGATGCACCCCAACCGTGATGTTTATCTCCTTCGTTAGGCCGTGAGGGGTGCGTATGGCTGCTTTGGCTCCTTCGTACATGTCCTTCACCAGAGAGATCAGGTGTTCTGGCACGTTTCGTTCCCTGAGCGAATTCCATATATTGCTTCGTGGAAAATTCCAATTAGGGTGGGGCGGGGCGGAGGAGGAGTGGGGGGAGGAGCACTCCTGATTACCTTATCCGCTGTACTAGAAAGCACCCCCTTGGGCTCTCTACGCTATGGATAAGATAGAGGTAACTAACTCATTTTCAAAGACAAAGTTCGGGCTCAGACCCACCTAAGAAGCCCTTACCATGGCTAGAAGTGCTGGGTACGCAAGTGCAAAGGTAGCGCCACCTTTCTACATCGAAACGCGTCACTAGGACCCTAGGCGCCATGGACTTCTAACAGACTCCACCAAACTTAACATGGTCCGCCCACCGTTCGATATCTTGTCTGCGTCGCTGCGTTGATCTGCTATGCTCTCTCTTCTCGGACTTCTCTACCGCTCTCCGCGCTCACATTATCTCTCATCTCCCTGCCTGTCCTTTTGAACTTCTCCACAGCATAGAGCAAAATGCTCGTATTTCCTGTGCACAGGGTTTTCCTTTTTCCTCCATTGGCGGTCCACCTCTCGTCCCTACTTCCACATGTGAGTGAAATCACCCCATCAATTTGATCCTGATTCCTGCCTTTAAGCGTACGCTCGATAAACACCGATGGGTGTTCTCCATTCCACTTATCCTGCCCACATCTTATCTAATTTTCTACACCTATCATCCACCCTGAAACTCCCCCACCTCAGGCTTGAGTAGACGATCCATTTGGCTGGTGAGAAACCGTTCCATGGACCATTCATGAAACTGTGGAAAGCGCTGACGAGGAATTCTTCCAGTCACACGATTCACATCAGAAGTAATACTTTGAATGAGCTCGACTTACATTGGCATTGATCGCTCTCTTCCTATCAAGCATTGGGGAACGCAATGGGCTCTCCCCTCCCCCGAGTTGAACTTTCACCTGCACTTCATTTCATTTCTAAACAGTGTAACAAGTGACGGCGACGCGCATTTTGAGTTTGGCTTTGTCCGCGAGGGGCAAGCACGATTCTGCCGGAGCGGTCACCCTGCTGATATCTATGGACTTCGGGTGATAAATATGCAAAACTTCAATGACATGAAGGATTTTCAGCGATGTTCAATGCGTAGAACTTCCGGTGGGATAGTTGTAGAAAACCGATGTGAAGGAAGTGTCATTGCAAAGTGAAGGTTACTCGCACAGCCGGTTGTTAGAGTACAAAGATATGTTTTGCGATCCTTATGCACTGGTATCCTTGTATACGGCTTGGAAAACGTCGGCTAAATTGCGGCACACTGGCCATACTGCGAACCATGTCGTTTAGCCCTTTCTGCTATTTTGTAATCCATAGAATAAATGTAGCCATTCTTGGAAGGAAGTCGTACAATAGCGAAAGAAAGAGACGACATCGGTGGCACGCGCAAGCGCGTCACAATGTCGCATGTGGCCTGCAATCCTTGGACGCTAAACCGCGCCACGCTGTCGTCGGGGCGTAATTTAAAGGCAGAATTTACGATGAAAAGTTAGCTCTTGGAAATAAGGGTAGAGGTCAGTGGAGCAGGGATGAAGAAGAAACCATTGAAACGGCCCGAAACCCGAGAAATGGGACCCTTCCTTGCCCGTTGATTTCCGCATTGATGCGACTCTCATCGCTGTGTATACACGCCACGTATAGACCTGCGGCGAGTGATTAGATAGTCGGTGGGCGTTCCGGCCAACTGCGCCAAAGGGAAGGCCATGTTAGATCGCCGGGGCATATCCTTCGATGCGAATTGCGTGTTGGTCCGCACCCTTAGGAGGTCCGCCTGTCTCTCAACTAGGTGAATTACTCCTTCTTCGACCTTCGTTCTTATCGTAAATCCTCCTTTAATAGCAGTGCTACACTACACAGATGGCACATTAGGCATGACCTCCTTCACGGCAGACGGCGCACATGAAAATGTGGACGTCTGCCGCATTACCCCACACTTCTAATAAGCTGTAGTAGACCGGAATATATTGCCGCTCTTGTCTACCCATTAGTCTCGCACCTAATCAGAGTTTGGCCGCGAGTCTCGCACAGTACATTTTAAATGGCTTATTTATTGCTCATGTATCGCTGCATGCTGTGGGGTGCTTTATTCATTCTTAAACGTTTCTGACTTGTAGCTGTTCGATGGTTGTTAGGGTATGTCTTGGGCCGGTTTGATCCGTGATTGTTGCAGTGATTTCATAATCGGATGATGGGACTAGAGAAAAGCGTTCCTCCCAAAGTTCGACTGGTCCAACCTTAGAGATGCGCCGGATTATGCCTAATAATAACGTGAATCGATAAGAGGAAACTTTCCGTCGTGAAATGCAAATTGTCGATTTTCTAACCCCTCACAAGCTGCTCACAGAGGGCTACTTGCCAGGACCTCTCCAAAAAATATAAAAATAAACAGTACCCCACTAATCAGGGGCGTGGAGAATAATCCTGCGTTCTATGCAAAACATTCTGAAACATCATTCTCTGCCCCTTTCTCCGAATAAAGTGTATTAAGGGTAAGAAAAGTGGGGATTTGTTAAGGATAATAGGATAGTGTCGCTGTAGGAGGATTTCCCGGGAAATGTACCGGAATGGCTTGATTGAGTGCCATCAGAACACTGCAGGCAGCGATGTCCGAGTGGTTAAGGAGATTGACTAGAAATCAATTGGGCTCTGCCCGCGCAGGTTCGAATCCTGCTCGCTGCGGAGATTTTGCATTCCTGCTGCTGAGTGTCGCTGTAGGAGGATTTCCCGGGAAATGTACCGGAATGGCTTGATTGAGTGCCATCAGAACACTGCAGGCAGCGATGTCCGAGTGGTTAAGGAGATTGACTAGAAATCAATTGGGCTCTGCCCGCGCAGGTTCGAATCCTGCTCGCTGCGGAGATTTTGCATTCCTGCTGCTGAGTGTCGCTGTAGGAGGATTTCCCGGGAAATGTACCGGAATGGCTTGATTGAGTGCCATCAGAACACTGCAGGCAGCGATGTCCGAGTGGTTAAGGAGATTGACTAGAAATCAATTGGGCTCTGCCCGCGCAGGTTCGAATCCTGCTCGCTGCGGAGATTTTGCATTCCTGCTGCTGAGTGTCGCTGTAGGAGGATTTCCCGGGAAATGTACCGGAATGGCTTGATTGAGTGCCATCAGAACACTGCAGGCAGCGATGTCCGAGTGGTTAAGGAGATTGACTAGAAATCAATTGGGCTCTGCCCGCGCAGGTTCGAATCCTGCTCGCTGCGGAGATTTTGCATTCCTGCTGCTGAGTGTCGCTGTAGGAGGATTTCCCGGGAAATGTACCGGAATGATCTTGACGGACCGTACCCCTTCCGCAAAGACGAAGTGGCGGTTTGTAATGATTGAGGGCAGCTTTTCTTCTGCAGGCAGCGATGTCCGAGTGGTTAAGGAGATTGACTAGAAATCAATTGGGCTCTGCCCGCGCAGGTTCGAATCCTGCTCGCTGCGGAGATTTTGCATTCCTGCTGCTGAGTGTCGCTGTAGGAGGATTTCCCGGGAAATGTACCGGAATGGCTTGATTGAGTGCCATCAGAACACTGCAGGCAGCGATGTCCGAGTGGTTAAGGAGATTGACTCGAAATCAATTGGGCTCTGCCCGCGCAGGTTCGAATCCTGCTCGCTGCGGAGATTTTGCATTCCTGCTGCTGAGTGTCGCTGTAGGAGGATTTCCCGGGAAATGTACCGGAATGGCTTGATTGAGTGCCATCAGAACACTGCAGGCAGCGATGTCCGAGTGGTTAAGGAGATTGACTCGAAATCAATTGGGCTCTGCCCGCGCAGGTTCGAATCCTGCTCGCTGCGGAGATTTTGCATTCCTGCTGCTGAGTGTCG